TACTAAAAATCTTTGCCAAAGACGACAATGATTTGAAGGGTCTCCTATGTACTGCAAAATGTTTCACTGATGATATAATTATGAATTTTAGATTAGATAATTGTGCAAAAGTAATATTCAAGAAAGGGAGGATTACAGAAACACACACACAAGAGATTTAGATTTTGTCACGTAAGTTATGGAATTGGAAGTAAAAGAAGCCTTTACTTTTCTGGGTATTAGCGAAGGAGTTGGAATACAGCATACCTAAATGATGGAGAACTTAACAAAGAAGTACTACAGTCATGAGCGTCTGGTATTAAATACCGATCTGAAGTCACAAAACAGAATATCAGCCATAAATACCTTGGCTGTACTTGTGGTGCAGTACAGTTTAAACTTCCTTAACTGGATCATAGCAGACATTAAGTGAACGGACACCAAAATGAGGAAGCTTCTTACCTGCCACCGCATGCATAATGCCAAAGCTGATGTGGACATCTCAAAAATGTGATATATGGGAACATCAACAATCCCTGTTGCATTTGGAGCCCTCGGATTGATTGGAAAAGAGGGGTTCTTGGAAGCCCTTGCCTTAAAGAAGTACAAAAACTGTTCTCACCAGTACAGTCCAAACATTACGAAGCGCTTTATCTATGTAAAATATGTGTTGGTCTATTTTTTTTAATTGGTCTGTTGAAAATGTCATGATGCCGTTTCTGACATTAGTTGTCTGGGCGGGACCCGGAAATATATGTGCACACACAAGATATCAAAGCAAATAATAATAATAATAATAATAATAATAATAATAATAATAATAATAACAAAACGAGAAAGCTTCTCACTTGCTACCGCATGCATCATCCCAAAGCTGATGTTGATCGTCTGTATGTGCACAGATCCGAAGGAGGCAGAGGATTAGTTCAACTAGAGCTGTCCTACAAAACCACAACAATTGGCCTCCAAAGATACTTGGAAACTACAGAAGACTGGATGATGGTATGTGTCAAGGAACATGAAAGCAGTGGCTACGTAGTGCAGGGCCGAAGGCTGAAACTGAAGGTTTTATACTTGCTGCTGCGGACCAATGCATGTTAACTAGGAATTATCAAGCACATATACTAAAATATTGTGTTAGCCCAAAATGCAGATTCCGTAATAAATATCCAGAAACAATTGATCATCTTTTATCAGCTTGGACGATATTGGCACCGTCTGAGTATGACAGTGGGCCAATATCTGCACTGGAAAATTTGCAACTTCTACTAGAAGAAAATTGAAAGAAACTGGTATGAACACCACCCAGACCCGGATACGGAGATAGGACCTGTTATAATTCTATGGGACTACACAATACACACTGACAGAACAATCAAGGCCAACCGCCCGGATATTGTTATTAAAGACCACAAACAAAAAAAGTGCCTCCCTATTGATATGGCAGTCCCTGCAGACTGCAATGTATCTTGAAGATATTCAAAAAGCTGTCAAAATACAAGTACCTTGAAATAGAAATCTCAAAAATGAGGCATATGTTAACATCAACAATCCCTGTTGTAGTTGGAGCCCTCGGATTGGTTGGAAAAGATACCAGTAGACTAATTGAAGGGATTGCTGGAAGTCCATGCCTCAAAGACATACAAAAAATTGTTCTGACAAGTACAGTCCACACTTTACGAAGTAATTTTTTTTTTTTTTTTTTTTTTTGTCAGTGGAAAGTGTAATGCTACCATTTCTAACCTTGTGTCCCTGGGCCGGACACGGAAAGAAATGTGTAAACGCCAGAAAACAAAGGAAATAAAAATAATAATACTATAATATAGGGAATTTAGATATCCTCTCTCAAATTGAGAACGTTAAATTAATTGATGGCAGACATGAACAAGTTTTTTCTTACAATTACACACTAATGCGGGTGAAACAGGGATAAAAATACTGGTGATAGTTTGCAGATCATCGTTTTAAGATAGACCTGGTTTAGATAGTTACTAAGTCCAGCTTAGTCTTGTACAAGGCTACTAGAATTGGACACACATCAAAAACAGAAACCACCAGCTTTTGTCAACGTTCCGAATTTACAAATGACTAAACTGCAATACGTGCCCCCGATATAGTGTAGTTACGATGCGTCTATGGGTTCTGTATCTGCTATGCCTTTGGCGTTAAGGGAACTTGTTTTGTTTGGATCTGCGTTCTGTACAAGAGATAAACTGAAGTAAGATCACACTTGGAATAGCTTTAGTAATAAGCTTGCGAAAGATTATGAGGAAGAAGAAAAGGAGGTTAAGTAAGATAACGGGGAAGAGAAGAAAAAATACAATTACAAAGAATACGAAGATAATGTTGGATATAGAGAGAGTGGGGAGAATAAAATGAGATTTTGATGATGATGATGATGATGATGATGATGATGATGATGATGATGAAAAGATAAAAAAGCAAGATGGAGGAAAATTATAAAAAAAAAGATAGTATATAAAATTTTGAAAATGAAAATGCAGCAAATTTTACAAGCGATATGAATTGTTTGTTTTTTCTTCTTTACGTCTTATCCACCCTTTCTGTGTCATTTAAATTTAGTTTTTGGATTGTAAGATACTATTTTTTTTTTGCCAGTTAATATTAGATTAACACTTGCTAAAAATAGATTGTGTATTATTTATCAAGATACACCTCCATATAAATACTGGGTTTAACCCGGAAGACAGAAGATAGTAGATGAAATTTTTCCAGAGACTCTGCCCGACTGCGATTTAGTCAACCCATTATTGGAACAGTCTTCCCAAGAATATACCAAAAACTGTAAATATTGTGTACCTATTCTTTGGAATACATTTTGTTAACGTTAGTGTTGATTATTCCAAAATTTAAGAAGAAGAAGAATTTAACCCGAAGAAGGAAGAAGAAGAAGAAGAAATGAGAAATAGGACATTGAGGATTAAAGGAGAAGAGAAGAAGAAGAAGAAGAAGAAGAAGAAGAAGAAGAAGAAGAAGAAGAAGAAGAAGAAGATAGAAGAAAGAAGAAGAAGAAGATTAGAATATGAGGAAAAATAATAGGGTGGAGATGTAAAAAGAGCAGAAAATAATGCTGAGATAGTGACAGATCCGAAATGTTTTTAAGCAGATTATGAGAATAAAGAAGGTATACAAAAAAGAGCGAAAGAATCGAATGGTTATGAGTAGAAGACGACAGAAAATTAATGAAATCGAAGAAAGATCATGTAAATACAACAAAAAAATGTATGGAAAAAATATGGTGAAGAAAAGAGAAAAAATAGCATAGAAAATATGGAATATGATGAAGTTGAAGTGAGAGAAACAAATGAAGAATTAAACGAAGAAAAGTAGCAAAAAAAGGAAATTGTGATATGAATATATAGAAACTGTAGATACATAGATAAACTGTAGAAAATAAAAAAAGAGATAAATTAGAAGTTGAAGAGAAATAAAAAGAAGTAATAACAAGTGAAGTTTATAAAAACGGAGGAAGACGTTAAAGAAATATTGATAAAATATTCTCTTTAAATTTTCACAAGAAACTTCTGTCAGCATGATAATTCCCGTTATGCTGATATAAAATATGTTTTAGAAAAAGAAAATGCATATAACTTAACGTAGAATATGATAAAACAAAGACGATGAGACAAAGAAAAAGAAGAAAAAAAAATGAATTTGCGAATCAGATGGAGGTTGATCATTAAAATAAAGAGTGGGTGGTGTAGAGGCGTGGCGTGCGGGCTCTATTCAGAAAGGTTCAATTACCGCTAATTAAGATTTTTCCATGAATGCCGGACCGGGACAAATTCAAACCGTGCTGCACGTAACTTTATAGTTCGTGTTTAGCGAGATGAGAAAGTAAATAATAATAATAATAATAATAATAATAATAATAATAATAATAATGATTTAGAATTAGTAATAAATAAACAGAAATTAAAATGATAATACAAAATAAACCGTAAATGAACAAGATAGAAAAAAAAAAGAACAAAAAAAAACAAAAAAAAAAAAAAACATTCTCCCAAATGTGTGTTCGCGGGCGTTTTCGTGACACATGGAAGTCATATTCTAATATCGTTTCGCGCCTTTTTGGTTTCTTTCGTCCTTCGTCATTGCCTTACTAATTAAGAGTTTGACGCCACTTGCTCGCTCAACTCTTTAAAATCTCTGGATTTTTCGTCTTGTGATTTTTGTTGTTGCCTCTAGTCAGTGAATCTTAGAAGATTTAACAGGATTTTAGCCTCGGATTTTAAAAGCACTCAGTTGAACGAAAGGACATGTATCGTGGGCGAGTGAAGTTCGATCTTCATAATTTAAAAGAATAAATTACGTCGATAAACGAAGTAACCTTTTAAATAGTAAACTTTTTTTCTTTCATAGTTTCTTCGACTTCATTATCAGAAACAGGATTTTTTGTCAATATCATTGTTCTTTTTAAAATGGTGTTTCTTTTTTATCTGCCATCTATTTCTAATTATTGTCTCCGAAATTTTCTTCATATTTTGTTATCTTCTCTTTTAAGGCTTTATTTTTCTTCCATATATCATGTACTTCGCAAGTTTTCATCTTGTCATGATTTCTTTTCCATTTTCTTATTTCTGACCAACCTTTGTTACATACTCTTTACTTAACTGAGGATTTTCCAACCACCCCCTCCTCAAACTTCTCCTTCTTTTCTTTTTTCTTCTTCTACATTAATATCATCTAATTTTCTTTTATATTTTAATCAATTTCTGAAAGTTAAGATCAATTTCAACCTCAGTTTCTTCTTCTTTCTTCTTCTTCTTCTTCTTTTCTTCTTCTTCTTTTTTTTCTTCTTCTTCTTTTTATTACTTTTCTTCCACAACTTTTTTCTACTACTAATACTGCTACTACAACGATTAGTTATTCTTTCTTCCTCATGACTATTATTTTTCTTCATCTTCTTCATTTCATTCTTTCATCACTTCTCGTCTTCGTGTTCCCACACGTTTACGTTAACATTTTCTGTTCTGAGATGTTCAAGATTTGACAAATAGAATTCTTCTTCTTTAATATTCCTACCCCTTTCCTTTTTTTTCTCTTTCTTTCTTCTTTTATTTCTAATTCTTGCTTTCATTCTGGCGTTCATTTTTCTTTCATTGTTTCTTTCAATTTCAATTTTTGTTCTTTCATTAAGACGTGTTATTGTGTTTAATTTGTTTTTCATTCATACTTTGTTTTCTTATTTTCTTTTGAACTTGCTGCTCTTTCTTTTATTTTGTCGTTTATTTTATTTCATTCATTCTCATTCTTACTTTCATTTTATTGATCATATCTCTTTCATTCTTTTTTCTTTCTTTTTCCCATTTCGTTTTTTTCTGACATTATGCCTTTTATTTCTATTTCATTCATTCATTTATTTAATTGCCCTTTCATTCCTTCACCTACTTATTATTTTGGTACACTTACTATTCTCGTAGAAAGTCAGGATTTTAAAAATTACCTAAAATTACCTGTTACTTAAAACTTTGCTTCTCTTCCGGCTTTCAATTTCAATCTTTCTTCCCATAATTCACTTCAACTTCTGTAATATTCACGCCATTTGAGCTGGTCTTCTCGGTAGTATAGCGATGAATATCACAGCCTTACGCGCAGGTAGAGACGAGCCTCATTTTCAGGCAGGGTAGTTTATATTATCCGGCATTTTGATGTAGTGAAAGTTTGTCGTGCTAGGTCAATTATGACTGAATAGAGAATTCAAACATCTGGGTGTCCAAAGCTTCAAGCTTTATACCACTTCTAAGGCTACGCTTAGAAAATCAGCATTCGATTTACTTTTATTCCTTCGCTTTCTATTTTTTTCCGAAAGGCCCACTTAAACAGGAAATTTTTCTTTTTGTCTTTCTTCCTTTTCTTCAGAATTCTTCTTCATGAGCCTCTCCCCTTTTATCTTTTATCTATTATTTTCCTATTTTGTACATTTGTATCAGCCACATTTGTGCTAGATCGGCATTATTAAGTGAATACATACAGACATGCGCACACACAAACACATACACATATATATACATACACGTATATATGTATATATATATATATATATATATATATATATATATATATATTTATTTATCCTTTTTATCTATCTATCTATCTATATATATATATATATATATATATATATATATATATATATATATATTTTACATTAATGTTACGAACGTTGGAATTCTACTCTGTTCTTTCTCATCTTACCTATATATATATATATATATATATATATATATATATATATATTTAATGAAAATATTTTCCATTCCAAATCGTTAGTTGTAGTTTTGCTAATTTTAATTTTGGTCGTGAGTGGCGTAATCTAAAATTGTTTTTCTTTTTATTTTCATGATTATGATCATTATCGAATTTTTTGCTGTAACATGGAAGTAAATTAAATCTCCCCACCAAAAGAATTTAGTTTATAATAATGATCTTAGTTCGCTTTCATTTCACTAAAATTCTCTCAAAACAAGCAGGAGTCTTTTCGACACTTACGAGACAAAATTCTAAATTTAGCAATATGTAATGTTATTCGTTGATGGCGCCACAGTTCTTGGCGTCAGCGAAATGCAAAACATATCTGTTGTGATCTGATGATGTCATAAAGAACTCCTGGTGAGCTGTTTGATATAAATCAGCCTGGATATTTGATTAATACTGCAATATTTATCATTTTTTAAATCCATTTTTTGTTGGTTGATGGCTTATAATGTCGGCCCGCTGAAGGCACAATGCTAGGAAAACTATCTATTTAAAAGGACAATGTCTATACTAAAGATCTTTTTTAGTTATCTTTATGTTTATATATATATATATATATATATATATATATATATATATATATATATATATATATATATATATAGGATAAGCCTCTTATCCATGGACCCTCGTCAACAGACTTTGGATGCAAGAGACAAAATCTGCAGGAAAAAATAAAAACGTTATGGAGCAAAAACAAAAATCCAAATTGTCAGCGATGTATCTCAAAATTTGCGGACTAAGCACAATGATTCCTATTAGTTCTCAAAGTAACATCTTTAAGGCTGGCCTTTAAATCGTAAACAAAGATGGCTGTACAGTATATAAATTACGATATATTAGCGCGCGTGTAATATTTAGCTTTGAGAAATCTATTATTATTCTTATTTTGATTAATTTATCTATTAAGTATATGTTTATTTATGCCATATATACATGTTTATAGTATCTACATTATGATCATAACTACTGATAATTAGTATAGGGATTATTTTTGAGTTATAAACTATGGGTAAATAGCAGGACAGACTGGGTTCTATAGTCTTGGACGGCAACTGGTCTAGGAGAAGGACAACTCTGATTTGAAAATTTGCGCAGGGTCGTTTGGGGACCTTGTGGAACTTAGTGCACCAGACCTCTGTATTCGGCCCTTCAAATAGTGTGGATGGTCCTGGACGAAATCTTCGCTACTATATTCAAATCTCTTGTGCTGTTATCGGGCTGTCGGTTTCCTGGGAACTGATCTGCTTGACCCTGATACGTCGAATTCGACAAGAGAGTCGAGAATATATATATATTCGATGGGAGAATCGAATATATATATATATATATATATATATATATATATATATATATATATATATATATATATATATAAGACTGTTTCGAAATATGACAGATCATTACAGATCATTATGTGTTTAGACATCGGATTTCTTCAAACCGAGATAGAAATGTTTCAATCGTTGTCCCCTACGGTTTTCTGGTAATTGGTATACTTCCTTTTTATGTGATTTTGTGGCGCCAGTTGTTAAGGTTCGGAGGAGAACTGTCTTCGTTACAGTTCTCGTTCGTTGGAATTCATTTTAATGAATGATCTGAGAAAACGCTTGGCTACAGCTGGTAATTTAGATATTTTGAACGGTTTTAGTGCTATTTATGACATCGATATGAGATCCGCGCTATTTAAGAACACTATAATTTTTGCATCATGCTGGCCCGTGTTGAAATCCTTGCAATATTTAGTATTGTTACAGTTACCACTAATATGTTTGTAGAGTTTTACAAACTCCTTGTTTCGTTCAATTTCGCAAAATGATCCTTAATTCTTGTTTTTTTTTTATCTCTCTTTAATAGTGTTTTGTTTTCTCATATTCTCTCGCACTCAGTAAACCTCTCCCGTCTTAGTCGATTTAGTGTTTTGCATTTAGTGAAATTATTTTAAAATAATTACTAACATTTTAACATAATGCCTATGTTAATACTTAAATCCAGTTTGCTACTATCTAGCAATAAGTGAAACTAATTTACTGGTTGACATATATAATTACTTTCCGGTGATGACAATAGTTTTTCAAGTGAATCTACGTAATGAGTCAGTTTTCTCTGTACATAGCAAAATTAATTTGACGTACTTAGCAAGAAATGTATAAAAATCTTTCAAAATGTCGGCATAGATTAAACCAATATTTAATGTATAAGGCCTTACTTTGCATAAACCTTTGTTGTCAATTTTAAAACGTTTTGGATTTCTGAAAAAAAAACACATGTTTTACTTGATTTTACGCTAAATAAATATAAGGAAATGATTTGTTTTGCTTTTTACGTCTTTTTAACAGAAAGCAAGAAGAGCCCATCGTATTGGAACTTTTGTAATCGCAACACCCTATGTCGTGAATGAAGCAATTTAAAATCTAATCTGGATTTCTAATAATAATCTCTTGATTATGAATGTGTTTATATTCCTTATTACGAATTAGAGAAATGTTGCCCTTTTCTGAATACGGAAATAAAAGGAATAAACCGAACAGAAGCACTGATAATACTTTAATATTATTTATAATGATAATAATACTAATAATACTAATACTACTACTACTAATAATAATAATAATCATAATAATAGTGCAGCCTAGTGATGATTAGTATTTGAAAATAATTAAAAATTAAATGAAACGGAAGTAGATTGACTTTGAAAGGAAACCGCTTAAGGCAGGTTCTAAACGAATTGAATTAATTTTTTATTAACCATTGACATAGTCGGTGACATTAGCAATGACAGTATTCAAACGTAAAAGCAATTGACTCTATTGCCTGCCGAAAAGAAAATTGCAAGTTTTTTTTTGTTTTTTTTTCAATTGAATTAAAAAAAAAGTAGCTGAGAGATGATTTTTGTTTTTCCTAACTTCCTGATTTCTCGATATCCTTGCACTAACAAAATATTCAAGACATTTAAAGAAATAAAGTTTCAAAATGGGCCTGGAGGAGGTAATCAACTCTAAGATTTATGAATTCATCATAATTTGGTTTTACAGCATGGCGTCTTTTTTATGTTACAATTGAAAATGATTATCATTTGCAATCTTCAAAACTGTGAATTTCTCATATGATGTGTGATAAGAATAATACATAAGTAACAAAAGACAACACTTAAAAGAGTAGGTGAAAAATCCATAGGCTGACTATGAAGAGTGATGCTAAAATAATACTAGAGTTTTGACATTTTGCCTGCAACACTTAAAAGGGTGGGCTGAAAACTCTATAGGCTGACTATGAAATGTGATGCTAGAGTAGAGTTTTGACATTTTGCATGAAACACTTAAAACGGTAGGCTGAAAAATCCATAGGCTGACTATGAAGAGTGAAGCTAGAATAATATTAGAGTTTTGACATTGTGCATGCAGCACTTAAAAGGTTGGGCTGAAAAGTCCATACGCAGACTATGAAGAGTTATGCGAGATAAATACTAGAATTTTGACATTTTGCAAGAAACACTTAAAAGAGTGGCTGAAAAATTCATAGGCTGACTATAAAGAGTGATGCTAGAGTAATAGTAGAGTTTTGACATTTTGCATGCAACACTTAAAAGGGTGGGCTGAAAAAAACAGAGGCTGAATAGGAAGAGTCATACTAGAGTAATGCTATAATTGTGATATTTTGCATGCAACACTTAAAAGAGTGGGCTGAAAATTTTTATAGGCTGACTACGAAGAGTGATACTAGAGTAATGCAAGAGTTTTGACATTTTGCATGCGAATTTTAAAGGAGTGGGCTGAAAAGTCCCTAGGCTGACTATGAAGAGTGATACTAAAGTTATGCTAGAGTTTTGACATTTTACATGCATTAATTTCAACTCTTCTTATTGATAAGCTGACTTGTTTGTTTCCAGGTAAACTGATATCTGACTTCAAAAGTAACTAATAAAATCTACTCTTCAAAAGTGACAAAAGTTGGCATCATAGTGTGATGAAGTAACGACGGAAAACGGTTTAGAATCCAAGAACATTAATGCTGACATGTTTGCTACATTAGTGGATAACGCCCCAGCTTTATCAACAGTGCAAAAGTGGGCAACTGAATTTAGAAGGGAGAGTCTCGAAGGGGGACCATGGTCTGAATGCCCTGCAAAACATTGATCGTGCTCACCACATGGTGATGGAC